TGACGGAAGCCCGGAGACTGCGCCTACCTGATGAGCCCGAAGAAGGGCGAAACCGGTCGTGGGCTGTTGATGGATTTTCAGCAACCTTATGAGTAGTACATTACAAAGATATAGATGTATCGCGATATTTCAAATATCGTAGCGACTGAAACATGAGGCGGTCTGGTGCAGCACATTCAGTTGCCTGAGAACATCATAAACGAGAGATTCAGCTGGGTTCCAGGTGAGTCTCTCGAAAGAACCAAATTGGTTTGCAAATGAGTGTATATTCGCTAATTTCGTGCAATTTGGTTTCAAGTAGAACATAAGGTTGACGGAAGCCCGGAGACTGCGCCTACCTGATGAGCCCGAAGAAGGGCGAAACCGGTCGTGGGCTGTTGATGGATTTTCAGCAACCTTATGAGTAGTACATTACAAAGATATACAAATGTATAATTTTCAACCTAAGAGATTGCCTACTCTCCTGGCTAATTAGCACATTCATGCAGATTCATGCAGCTCAGAGAACCACTCATAAGAGTGCACTTAGCTAGTTAAAATGGATAATTGATTGTCTAGACATGACAAACTATTTATAAGGTTGTTGAAAACTCCTTCCTTCCACTTCGGCCTCGTCAGGTAGGCACAGTCCCCGAGTTTCCCCTAAACTTTGTGTTCCACTTGAACTCGAATTGCACGAAATTCGACAAGTAATCTCATTTGCAGACGAATTAGGTTTCGATAGGAGACTCAGATGAATCCAGCAGAATTGCTCTTTTATAGTGGTGGTGGACTGTTGAAGAGTCTTCAGCAGCCTTACGAGTAGTGTGTATTGCGATATATCGAAATTCATACGAGCTGAGGCGACCTAGTGGAGCACAGTTGTAAGAGACCAGTAAAAGCGAGAGGTCCCGCTGAACTCAGTTGGATCGTGAGCAAGTGAGAGTAACTGTTAGATAATTCACTATGTTGAAGATTCTCTGGGTTTTTGTGACTGCGCCGTGATGAAGATAAAGCAAACTGAAACTTGCAAACTTCCTAGTGGTAAACCGCAAGCCAGGTCTCCGTAATCTGGAAGCCGGTTTCTCCAAGTGGGTTGGATGGGAAATAAATCACACTCATTTCGATGCCTATCAGTGACTTTATAATTACTAGGCACAATAGCAGCAGAAAACAGTTCTTCTTTGTTCTCGTTGGGGCAAGGAGGGGGTTCTGCTGCCTTCAGTATCGTCTATGGGATACAAGCCACATTCCTTGGAGGGCTTCTTCTTATCAGTACCGCTATTTTTCGTTGTTATTTGCAACAGGTCTGCGCAAAGTGCCATGCGCCGATAGTAAGGATGAACAAACTAACTCTGGTAGCCAGCCTGGCAGTTTTACAAGCTATCAAGTGAGCTTCAAATTTTGGTTGGGACACTGGCGGACTGAAACCGCACTACACTGTATCACGTGCTATTTCCAGTAGCCGATGTTAGTTCCGTAAAAAAATATCCTAACAGTTGTGCACTTTATTCCACAAAACACTTATAGGTTTTGCGCACTGTCGGTCTTTGTGACTTTAAATCACGTGCTACTGCCGCTGTTGGGGCCAACGGCTTGTGCTTTGGCATACCGAGCTTAGATTTTTGACAGTCTGGCCTCAGATATTCAACCAGTCATGTCAAGCTTCCACTATGTGACCAACACGTCTGGACAGGTTGGGCTGGCGAAGCTAGCAGGTTGCGGTAGCATAGTCTACACCCATTCAGACGCGTATCTTGTCCCAGCCGCTGACAAATGCTCAATCGGCTGATGCACCATCCATCGATCGGTGTGACGACTTGATACCTTTGACGTGATATCGCGTGCGGAAGTGCAGCTGCCTGTGCGCGTTGCAACAACCAAAGTAGAAGTGGCGGCAACAATTTGAATCAGAGCAAGATTAATTGGGACTTTGGATCCCACAGTACTTCCGAACATTTTTTTCACTTGACCAAATTTCACAGTTATTTTGAAAAAAAGACACGTTAGCTAAATGCCAGTACTGTAGCATATCTTGGTTGAAAATATTGGGAACTCGGTTGGTTATTTTGACATAGGATCACTTTCCTATAGCCTATATGGTTCCAAGCGTGAACTTTTACAACTGGAGACAAGGTTTCAAATATATGGGCAGTGTTGAAATCCATCCCGTTCGGGAAAATCCTTCGCTGTCTCTACTTGTCAGTCGCACAAATTTCTTATCAGCTTCAAAATCAAGGACCAACCAACCCAGTAATTAGCATAAATGTTTGAAAAGTTAATTAAAGGCCATACATGGATCTTCATGCAAAGATTTCTGGTGATGCTATTCTGAAAGCTAACTTCACATACAGGACATTCCGTTTCAAGTTGTGCGGGAGCTTTTGAACACCGGATAGTAACATTTAGTGTGGGTTCCAGTGGAAATTATGTTAGTCTTTCATAGCGAGCTTCCTCTAAGACAGACGACTACCAAGTACGATCATTTCACTCTGATTCCGTGGGACTTGACTTGAGAAACGAGGCAGCACAACACCGAATTTCCCCCGATGCGAACTTCCTTCCCAACAAGGGTGAAACTGCACACAATTTCCGGCCAGAAGCCTAGTACATCATTATAATCTGTGCGTTAGTAGAGTATCAAAGACTTCCACTCGGAAGAGACCGCTTTTGTTTCATCTCTTAAAAAATTCATCCGGTGACTAGGTAGCCCAGCGAAAAAGGCAAACTCTGACCTACCGTATCAGGCAGTCTTTCTGGAAAAAAAACGCCCAAACTACTTATTCCACTGTATAAAAACAACTTGAAGGAATCAACTGAAAGGGAAATTTCCCTAGATTCATACGACTGTGTGTGATTTCATCTTCTGGAGATTCGATAGGCCCTCTCCTGTGATTTGATCTCTTCCAATAGGAAGTGTAAGCCAGATTGAGTTTTAAGGCAACAACTAAAAGTCTGATAGTCGGTCTGTTCTGTTAACAGTCGCTGTGGAGTTGGGCAACCGTATGCTGAGAGAAACAAACGGACTGCTGGTCTTTACGTCATAGAATTTGATTGTTTTCTTCAAAGTGCAAATCAATATATATCACTCTTCAGAAGAGGAGATCGAGTGCTGTTTAAGTACAAATCCTTTGGAAGTCTAGCACTTCTGCTCATAAAGAATGACATTTTGACGACATTTCAAAACATCTGATCGCCAACACAGACAAAAATGCCACACCGATCGGCATGTTGGTTGGCTGACAGGGAAGACCAATTTTGTTTGGTCTACGGAAACTCTTTTACCGATTCTGGACCGCTCATTCCTCACAATCATGCACTTTTGTTCGGTCCTTTAAATTACTCTCTGCCGATAGTGACGACTATATAGAAGGGAAAAACTGACAGAAAATCTGTCGACGCAAGTGCGCACTGGTTTCATATCATTCCAAGGCTACCGGGGGTCCCATGGAGGCGTCATATATTAAAGTTAGTTAAGCCTTAAGATTGACTCATACAAAAGTGTTAATTTTAACTATCTACCTTGCTGTTTGTAAGGAAAATCATGCAGTTATGCCCCAATTCTAGAAGCAAGGGACTCGGGTATTGAGCTGTCAGAGCCCCCATTTGGTTGTACGTACGCTAATGAAGTGAATGTTTTGACAGCTGTTTCCAACATCACTCAGGAGCTTTCAATTAACGATGGAGCTGATGGAATCTGTCTCAAACCACGGTAGGTTTAGTAATATCGATGCTTCCAGATAAATAGTAGTCTTCCTAATAAAGACCTCTTATAACAAACGCAAGAAGCTGTGTTTTTAAGGTAGACATTCGTGGAGGATGATGGTGGCACAAGTAGGCCTGGGTTGGGAGTCTCACCGTCACACCATAGTTATGTGAACCGACGATGATGGTGATTTACGACTTTTGGGCGGCTAGCTCACCACATGCAGTCCGATCTAATGTAAACGAAAACCGGATCAAATCGATGCAAGTTTTATTTGATGAACCAATCTCTGATCTTAGTAATTCTGTTTGAGAAAGCAAACCACAAGGTTTGACTCAGAAGCTGATACTTGGTGTCACTCTAGATGATACTTGTGAAGTAGTGGTTTCTGTAGGCCATGAAAATGGTTCAATAATAGGCTGTTCGATATACTGCATGTCTAAAAAAGGTTGGTTCTGATATTACCACATTAAATTCAGTGATGTATTGGATTATTGCAAAAACTTATGAGAGGTTCATTGTGGCTCCTGTTACGTTACACAGAGGATGTTTCCTTTCCAGGAGTCTCCACCTTATTCATTTAGGAGGATGACTCTGGTTCCGAGCTGGTTACCGATATTCATTCAACTTGTCTCCAGTGTTCCCAGAGAACAGCCCCTCATTTGGAACCAGGCAAATTTTCACCAGTAACTTCGACTGTGTGCGATGATGTAATGCAATCGCCTGCCAATTTTCATTTCAAGCTTCTCAATTACTGATCCCCGCGTCGTTACTTTGAAAGGTCATTTGTTTGACAAGACTTCTGTCTTGTTCTGACTGAAGTTGACCAATGTATTTGGAATAAATCCTGATCCAGTGTATCAACAAATATCAAGACAAAATTGTGCGATAATTGATAAGTGAGTACGTGGACGTTATCATACATCAGTGAGCCATTCTACCACAAAGTTGGTAGAGGAATCCTGAATAAATCTCCAAACTTGCTATCAAAAGGAGTGAAACTTTTTCATGGTGTGAAGATCACTAAACGAGTTGTTGTGCGCAGCGCTGTTCTCTCCAGGTTCGGATGCCGAGATACTTTGTCCAGTGTTGATTTGTGATAAACATAGTTAGGAAGCATGCTCAACACCCAGTAATACCAGTCTGTTCTGTGCAAAACCTAAATCTCCAGTTGCATTTGCGATAGTCGGTTATCGGCATGATAGCAGACTTGTAACTTTCGTAATGCACTACTCATAAGGTTGCTGAAAATTCGTCTACGGCAACCTTATGAGTAGTGCATTGTGAAGATACATGTATCGCGATATCTCGAATATCGTAGCAACTGAAACATGAGGCGACCTGGTGCGGCACATTCAGTTGCCTGGAACCATCACAAACGAGAGATTTAGCTGGGTTCCAGGTGAGTCTCTCATAAAACCAAATTAGTTTGCAAATGAATGTATTTCACTGAGCTTGTGACCTTTGATGGTTGTCTTCAAGTTTGCCACTTTCCACCGAACATGCCGCATACAAAGCGATTCCGAAGGCGTATTGTCCGGAAATCAATAGGTCGTTTGCATCAAAACGTACAAGACGCACCTTTTGACATGGACATGGCAAACATTCAGGGGGACAGTATCAACTAATCCATTAGGAGGTGAAACGTAATGCATCTCCCAAAAATGGGGTTTAATGGGGATTAGTTTGTTTTGCTGTCAATGCCGTCCTAGGCGAGGAAATCCGATACATTTTATGTATCTGACTAATGTGTGGTCTGTCAAAAAGCTTGCCTGTGAGGTAGTCAACAAGTCGGAGAAAGGTTCCGAGTGACCTTAGACTCGGAAAGCTCAAGGTCTCTTTATCCTTATGATGATAGACCTTAGTTGCTTCTACAGCTCACAAGGTAGAAAGTAGTTTTTAAAAAATAAAAGTCAGTAATCGCATCCTCAGAAAATTTTCACCGAAATCCATGGTATCTGGAGTGCACATTGGAGAGCGATGAGGCTCTTGGTCATTTCGGATAAAAGCTAAGGTGAAAAACAAAACAGATAGGGGCGAAGCATCGATAGCCCCCAAGTACTCTTTGTGTGGAGTAGTGTCCTGAAGGATGGTCACATTTTGACCAGCTTAGAAGCTCAGTTTTCCGAAAAGTCCAAAATAGAAGATGCTTTGAGGACACTGTTTGTAATCAAACAGCCTCGTAGACTCCAACATCATTTCCAGGGTGTGCCACCAGATGGGGTCTCTTCAAACCTGGATTCATCGAGTAGCGTGCTGACAGTTTTGCTTTAAACTTCCTGCGGATGGCAGTTTGTTACGTGGTTAGAATAGGTTCGCTATACAGTGCCCATAAAGCGTTGGGCTTGCTACAAGAATGACTGTCTCTTAAAGGTTCGTTTTCATACCGTTATTTCTGAAATGTCATGTGCACAGATTATCCGGACTGGAACTGGCAGTCACTTTTGAGGCATCCATGTGGGGGGTTAAACCTGGTTAGTCGAGATCGTATTCCACGTTCTTATCCGGTCGGCCAAGCTGGCCGAAGGTTACGGCCTTCGACCTGGATGGAGAAACGGCTGTGGAACAGGGTGGCCGACTCTTTGCTTGGTTTATGTGTTTAATTGTGCATGAAGGTGTCAGCTCAGCCATAAAGTCATGAGGTTTTGTGTTTCAATCGTACACTAGCATGCTGAGATTTTCTTGGGTCCTCGTGCATGGCAACGCTGAATGTTAAACATGTGCGCGTGTCTACCGTCACCGAGAAACTGCACTTCACCGTGATGTGACGGCTTGTGTCCTTCCGCCACCAATCTCAGGCACGTGGTGACTGAATAGGTGCACAAGGTATAGTGTGTCGTGGGCACAAAGTAGTAGGTACGTCATACAGTGTACACAATTCAATGGCATTCTTGCGGTCAGCTTTTGTCCAGATTGCCTGAATAAGTACCTGGGGGTGCGGGTACCTCGGAATGATTGTGCTAGGCTGGCCCCAAGTCCATTTCCTGACGCTTTTATCCTTCTCTTCACGATTAGCCTTCAAACAGATCGTGGTTGTTTGCAGCGAAGCATCAGTGCTGAACAGTGATGATGGGTTGCCGATGATGATGATGAGATGATGATGATGATGATATTGACGATGATCCTACTGTCTCTCACTCATGAAGCCTTTTTAATTCAGCAAAGAAAGCATAAATAGAAATTAGGAGCAATCGGTTGGGTGCACACGGAAATCCCAAGAACTGCAATTCGTGTTGCCTATTGGCTTCCTGATAAGTTGTCAGAAGTATTAGTTTGATTCACTACTATCCGCGCTCGCTTCGCACGGTTACTCCATGCCTAGAAAAGCGGAAACCGCCATACAGCCTTGTGGTCATTCTGAGGATCATCAGTAGTGAGCAGCTCAAGAATATTTGGGCGGCTTGAAGTCCACAGCCATCCAGATCGAATTTCAACGGATGATTATCTAGTCATCTGATCAGTCTAAACCAACACTGCAGCACCGCAACCACCAAGTTGGTAATTGAAGCCCGGCCGTGAATTTGACGCAGTTTGTGTACTCACCCCATCTGGTTCCATATAAAGTTGGTGGAAGATTGCACATTAAGGTGATTCTAAGCGTGTTGATGATATTTACATTTCTATTTCTGAGAAAACGATGCATATTCAACTCCTGTAACCTGGTGTCACCCGTTTTCTCGAGTGAGCATATATCAGTTGAAGGCTCATGCACCTTGCTGGGAGAATTTCCCCTTTGCGAAAGCAATATTCGATTTTTTTAGCCATTCCTACCGTATTTTTGCGGTTTTTCAAGAATGCCCCGTCATTTTTAAGGAAAATTTCGTGAACTATTGATTTCTTGGTGTTGACAGTGCATTTATTCACAGAGAACTCATGTCAGTTACCAAAAACGTCGTTTTTGAAGAAGCTTCTTGGCTGCACAGTTTATTCCTTGAGGCGCTGACGCACAACTTCACTTGTTACCATATAGATACCTATATATATAATGAGAATATAATGATAACAACCGTCCAACTTTTACACTCTTTCGGTGCTTAGGTGCCCCGCTATCCAAAGGAAGCAAGAGGGCTAGGATACGGCTAGGTTACCCAAGTCTAGACAGGTGAAGTCGAGATGCAGAGATCGGGTTCGAACCACGGACCCTCCGATCAGTAAATTGGCGCTGTAATCACTGAGCCACTTCACCCCTATATATATATATATACCCATATATATTATCATGCGTACTTCTCATCGAACACCTTGTCAAAATGACTGCCTGACAAGTTTTATCGGGCCAGAACAACAGAAAACCTCATTGTAGACAGCCAAATCGGTGCTGACATTGATGCTCCGCTACCATACAGAGACAAGTTCTGTCTAATTATATTCAAAGCTTAGGAAGGAATAGAGTGGAATAGGGGAGGAGTCGGGAGTCATTTAAATACCTCTTGGATGCCAGAGTTAGTCGATGGATTAGGTGAATAGGTAGAATGGAGGATTTTGAAACAGAAGATAAGATAAGAATGACAATAATGCAAATTGTTGATAGTAGGAGAGGATACTTTGACAATAATTCACGTCTCCACGAAAACCAGCAAACATTATATCTCATCTTGTTTATTTTCTGTACGGAATCATATTTCGAACGCTTGCAATTTAAGTGCTGTTAAAACGTGGCGTAATGTGGATATTTGTTCAACTTCTTTTAGTAGCAACCATACCACTCCGAATATGCCCGACGGAATTCATCATGAAATACGGGGCTCCATTCTCGTAATACTGTATCATATACCCCTAGTCGGAAGAACCTTTCGCGCCACGGAAATTCGTGCCTGCAGCAGCACAGACACCTTGTGCTGCTCGGTGCAAGTGTTCGGGGCGAAGCTAGCCACGGTAGCAAAAGATTCACTTTTGAGTCAGTAAATGGGACCGAAAAACCCAAGGTGTGAATAGTTTTGCACTAATCCAAAGTTACGAATTCACACACCATGATCTTCAGTCAAGCACTAAACTGAGCACATCATGTCTCTGTTTCCGGAACTTGGGTTTTTATATGTAATCTCTTTCCAGAAGTGTTGGGAGGTCATCGCATCCTGTTTATTGTGTCTGATTAGGCTCCAACTGACTTTAGCTCTGAATCTGTCTCCCACCCACT